CAGCGAGACTAGCACAATCCCTGGAATCCACCTCGAGACTGATCTGTCTCTGCGCCATGTCCTGTCTGCAGCGCACATCAGCAACACAGAGGGTTTAATTTCTTTTCTAGTCCCTCTTCCCCTCGTGTGTCTTTGTCTAGAGAGCAGAAATAATCTCAAAGTAAATATTGTGTCAACACTGGCAGTTGACTGACGACTCCTCCCCTTCCCACACAGGACACTGCAACAGCTATCTTTCTGTAAAAGACTTCAGTGACCATAAGAGGGAGAAATCAGACTGTTGCCTGGAAAAAAGCATTGGGATTCTGTAGTTCCCATACCTGACCTCGCGACCCGGCAGACTGCTAGATAACTGAGCGTATGGAAGACTCATAACGGAAGGACAAAGTGAGGTTCTCTAACAAAAGCCGAAGAACCACTGCTAAAATCCAAACAGTAAGGCCTGAGCACTGGTAACTCTCATCTGTCTTCAAGGCCAAGAGCCTTACGTCACCAGCATCCCCAAAAGCCACCGCTCCGTCCTACTCTTTGCATGCTCACAGGGCAAGTTTCAAGGGGTCTAAGACTGGGTGGGCAGGGACACAGGGCAAAATTGTCCCTTTGGAATTTCAGAAAGTTACTGTATGTCATCAGTGCCTCTCCGGTTACTTGGAAAAACTCCTCTTCCTCCACGTGAGGAGGTGCTCAGCCGCTCATATTCAGAGGTAGGTAAATTGCCCTGCTCGCTGCGTGCAGGGTCACCTCCAACTGACTCCAAGATACACCAGGCTGAGCATCCTTCCTAAGGCAGACCATGGAGAGGATCCAGCCCCCAGCGCTGGCCCATTCAAGGGACACTCATGTATTTGAAACTTTATGCACACCAGCTTCAGCCCTGGAAACCCGGTCTGCCTGGCCCAGCGCTGATGCTGCCATAGCACAGACCCAACCTTCACCACAGACGTGCTTCTGTTTGTCCGGTAACCAGAAGCAGAACTTTGCTACTACTCTCGGTTCACAGTCCTCCAAGAGCTGCACCTGGGTGTAGCAAACGAGTTGAGGAAGCTGTTAGTTCTGCTACTAGTGGGGGGGTTCCAGCAGCTGGTGCTCACCCTCCAGAGGCCTCGGGTACCCTCCTGCTGGTAGATGTCGATGAAGCTGCCAATCATGCCACCCTGGAATAAACTGCCTTGAGCCTGCATTCGAATCTGAAAGAAACGTGAGAGTCAAGCGGGACCACATCAGCGTGTGCCCAGGAGGGCAGAGATACCAGCTCAGTGGACCCCCTGGTAGAAAGAACAACCGAGCGACTCGGAGCAGACACCGCCCTCCACGTGCCCCCTCCCTGCAAACCATGCAGCAAATGACGACGGCAGGCAAGGAGCAGGGACAGCAACAGGGTGGAAGCACGGTGCAAAACTCAGACGAGACAGAGAAGTGATGGGCAAGGCCTTCCTGCTCCGAAAGCCCTCTGAGAAGGTTGATCTACACAGGGAGAAGCTTGGGAAAGTTCTCCAGGCTCTCTTTGCTCAGAGCAGAGCTACCTTGACCCCAGTAACCCCGCAGTAGGGAATGGAGGGGACCAGGCAGTCCCCACTGGACTCTGGTCACTCCACGTAACAGGTAGGACTTTGCGGCAGTGTCAGCAAAGCGCAGCACAGCGAGCAAAGGGAAAGGAGCCGAGGTCTGATGAATAGCTGGCTACCAGCCCACTCACCTTACCCAGTTGAGGTAACACAGCCTCCACCCCTTGCCATAACAGATTTCATGATCTTTAAGACCCGCATTTTTAAAAATCTGTTTATTGCTCTGCGCTTCTGTTCCCATTCATAAAAAACCCAGATTAGCAGAACTGATGCCAGCAGTGGCTCAGAGAACACCTCAGTGCAGCTGGGAGAGATGCACCTTCACTGGAAAGCAGCAACTTCTACATGTCAAACCACAGCCAGCCAGGAGCTGTCTCTGGCCAGGCAGACTTCTTACCTTCAGCACATCTGTCGGATTGGCAATCGCAGAGGAGATCACCCCCGAAACCACTCCGCAGATTACATTGATCAGCAACGTTTCATCTGCAATGAAGAAAAGGAAGTCAGATCCTAAAGATCTAAAGAGAAGGTGCACAGATTGTACCGAACAAGCAGGAAGCTCTGGGAAGAGCAGAGAAACTCAGTTCGCAAATCACATGGTGAAGTTGCACGAGCAGAGGCTGGCCAGCTACCATCAACTCATGGCAGATCTGTCCCCACACCTGCCAGAGACAGAGAGCAGCAGCTGAGACACTCAGCAAGACGCTCTCAGAGAGAAGCGGGTCTTACCGATGAGTCTAGCTGATCAGACAAGGAAAAGACTGTGATACATGAGAATTTTGAACAATTATCTGAGATTTCAGTGTCCAGTGATGCATTTCTCATGATGGAGACAAGCCAAGACAGAGGAAGACAGAGAGGGACAACCCAATGCTTCTCAAGGCAACCTGATACCAATTTGTTTTGATCTGGAGCCCCAGCTGGCCACACTCAGAATATGCAGCCACCTCGAGAAAACAGAGAATAGGCAACCCAGGCAGAGAAAGTTAGATGCAATTAGTTCCGGGGGGCGGCTGGAATAATCCAAGGCTTCCAGGCCCAATATTAGGGTGATGGTTACGTTGGAAAAAGGCACAGCCCTTCGCTGGTACTGACCACGGCACTTCCCAGAGGAGACCAGGCCACTGGCTGCCCCAGGCCTGTAGGGAGACAAACATTCAGACAGCGGTACTCACAACTGGAAATGCTGCAACAGCAAGCAAGGAGAGACGCGCGGCCCAGCGTGCACGCACAGGAGCACGCACAGGGAGGGGTGTTACTGGAGAACAGAGCAGCCCCTGGAAAGAAGCTCTAGTGCGCTGCACTTCCCAGTCCTCTCTCTGGCCTGCTGACCCGCCCGGACCGCCCATCCCACTTTCCCAGGTCGGAATGGCGTTACTCATGTATTCACTCATGTCACACCAGGGTTCAAAACCGCACGCGCAGACCTCGGGGCTCCTTCGGTGAACACGTACCAGAATTCTGCTGCTCCGCTCTCTAGGCGGGAGCCACAGAGGCCCTCGTTACCAGAGGTGCGCAGGTCAAGAGCATTCGTGGTATCCCATCTCCACGGCTGGAGCCAAAGCTAAAGAGCCGGACAGCACAATTTCTATCCAGATGTGCTGCGTTCAGGCACAAGGACTCAAAGGCTCCAGCAGGAAGACAGGAGAGACTCGCTACTGAAGCTTTCAATCCGTGTAACACATCTGATGTACAGACGGGACGCGACGTCTTCCCCGAGACTCATCAGAAAGGAGAGATGAGCCTGGGTCGACGATACTTTTTTTCGGCTCTGACTTTGCAAAACAGAGATAAAGGCTGGGGAAAGGAAAGACCTGGCTGGAGGGGGAGGAGTTTGGGTAGGGACTGTGGGAGTGCCAAGCACAGCAAGAGCCACGTCTGTATTGACACCTATCCTTGCTATTGCTGTACAAACAAAACCACAGCGCAAAGTAACAAGAACTCCATTTCTGTGGGAATCTACAGCTGGGAAGGACAGAGAAAGGAGTGAGCAACACCACACAGCAGAGAGAGCGCGAGGCTTCACGCCGCACCTCTGGCGAGACGAGAGGTGCCTGTACTGACACATTTACTGACACTGACCTTCCATGCGATCTACAAACAGCCGCTTCAAACTCTGGTAAATGCCAATCTTTATGGTGCCGTAAGATGCCTGTCTCAGCAACGCAGGGGCGATCCTGAGCGGGGGAACAAACAAAACCGTTGAACCCCGCCAGCGGGGCGGCCCTCCTTGCGGGCCCAGCACAAGTCACTCCCCATCAGCCCCCAAACTGCAAGGGGCAGAGCGTGGGCCAGGCACGCCCCTGCCGCGGCTCAGACGTTCCCGAAAAGCGCAGCTCCGTCAGGTGCCCAGGACAACAACCCCGGGTTCCCGGGGAGCTGCCCCCGCGCCCCCTCCAGTGCGGGAGGCTGGCACCCACGCAGCCCTTGGCCTTGCCACGCGAGTCCTCGCTCCCACCCGGGGAAAAACCAGGAGCCTCCAGGCTGC